GGCAGAAATGGCTGACTCCCGCATCAGTCTCATCATGTCAGACACTAAGATAAACCTTTCCAGAGGAGGAAGCAGGACAGAAAGCCTTCCCCAGCTCAGACTGGACGTGCTAAGGCATAACTGCGTTCTTTCTGCACGGTGACTGGATCTGGATCCAGGTGTATGCTCATGGTCCACGGTGATGCTAGCAATCCCTCCAGGAAGCTTAGTGAATGGAAGCTTCTAGAAAACACTGCATGGAGAGCAGCAGAAGACTTTAATGTTCTGTCAGCAAAAGTATGAGACTCTGGATTAAGAAAGAAAGGGGCATGTGAGCTAGAAGCCCTTAACACAGTGCCCAGGGGAGAAGGCAAGAAGACGCTCAGAGAGTGACTCACCGAGCAACGACTGTGCCATGAGGCCATTTATCTCCTGAGGAGCCTTTTTAGGTTAAAGATTCTTCACCGCCGTGTACAGGGAAGAACCAGTCTCAGGACAAAGTCTCTCGCCCATCTTGTTATCTATCTTGCAGGTAGCTGAGCTGGGATTCTAACCTGGGATGAAGCCAAAGCCCATGTGTTCTGCTCGAAGCAAGTCCCACTCAGGAGAAGAAAAAGCGTCCTTAGGAGTTTTCCTGCAGTTACAGGAATTAGGGAGGCCTGGGAGGGCCACGAAAAGCCTCCACATCGCCTTCCCTTAACTCCCTGACAGGCCTCCCTCTCATCAGCCCCTGAAACAGCCCAGGGAGTGTCAGACCAAAGGGTCTCTCTCAGGGATCTCTCTGGCTCTGTCCCCTCCTTTCTTCCTCCACTTCTCCCCTGGTTCTCTCTGAACAAATCTTTCTCCAAATAGAGACATCTCTGAATTCCAAGCTGGCTTCCCAGAGCCAGCTAACTATGGAATCCTTTAACCATTTCCTTAAACCTTTAGAGCCACACTCTAACTTACACATTCCTCTATTGCTGATGCTAGGTTGAGGCTTGTGCTTAAATGTCTCACGTTTGAAATATGAGGAAAAAAATTGGCCAACAGGGCAGTGTGGTTGAACCTGAGTCCCATGGAGTGAAGCTGGTTGGTCCAGTGGAACCAGGGCACCCCAGAGGCTCTGTCTGCCGGTGTCCCCACCCACCAGCCACGTGCTCTCCCACACAGCATGCCTGCAGAGGTGCACATGCTCCTTGAAACCCCCACCTTCTTGCAACAATCCAAGGCAGATCCCCCAGGATGAACTAGCAAAAAGGACCATTTTATTGGTCGAGCATGTACCTGTGACAAGCACTTCTCTAGACAACTGTCCTCATTTGTACAATGCCATTTATTTTCCCTGCAAATTCTGCCTGGGAGAAAAGTAGCAATATACTCTGTGGTTATGTTGCTAAGATCCCAAAGATACAGCTACAGAATAAAAGGAATAAAGCAGGCCCAGCAGGTTGCATGGTGGTTAGGGCACTGGACTCCTACATGACTGATTCCATTGTTTGAATCCAGGACCTGGTGCTTGAAAACCACACTGGATGTGTGCACACATGGCCAAATTCCTAAGAGGAAAATGAGAATGGACTGTGGTGTGGCCATCCCCCCCGGGGGGGGTGATTTCTCACTTTCACTTTTTCTCTCTCTCTTCTGCAAGTACATGTACCAAATAGCAACAATCAAAAAAAAAAAAAAAAAAAAAGGAATAAAGGAGAGAAAAAGGTGTCCTAGCAGAGATGAATGATCTCTGGGGCCTGCAATAAAACTTCCAGTAATAGCAGCATATATGGAGTCCACAAGTGCTGAATCTTACAATACTCAGCCGGATGGATGGTGATATGTGTTGGAAAAGTGCTAGCTGACAGAGAAAGTGGCTTGAATAATGACAAGGCAATGACATCTAAGACACATAAGAAGAATTGTTCTTGTAAACAGATGCAAGTGCATAAGAAGTAATGTAACTTTCCAATGGAAATTTTATGTATGTGATGGCGAACGTGTACAAAAAATAAAATCATAATGAAGTAATTGAGTATTTTATTCAGATTCTTTTTTTAAACTTTAATTTTTTTTTCTGTAGTGTGTGTGCACTTGTCAGAGATGAGAGAGGAGGGAAAGAAAGAGAGAGAGAGAGCCCCTCAGGAGGGAAGGCCACGTCATAGTCCTTTCTCCATCCTCCTCTTAGGATCCCAGGCAAGCACACATGCCCAGAATACTTATTCCAGGCCACTGGGCCCAGGACTTGAACCATGCAGTGGGCCATGTGGAATATAGCCACTTAAACTACCATGCCACTCACTCTCATTCACATTCTTTTTTTATTATTATTTTATTTTATTCATATTTACTAAACTACCATGCCACCCACTCCCATTCACACTCTTTTTATTATTATTTTATTTTATTCATATTTAATCACTGTACATCTTTATTGTGTACAATATGTTTTTTCTAAGCATGCATGCATGTCAACCAAGTAAATATATTACATATATAATTTTCAACAGAAAAATTTACATTCTTTTTTTTTTTGAGAGGTTTTTGCTATGGGGCATGTGCGCTCACCAGAAAGACAGAGAGAGACAGAGAGGTAGAAAGCAAGAAATCACCCCCGCCATGGGGAATGGCCATGCCGCAATCCCTTCTCCTCCTTTCTCCTCTCAGGATCTAGGGCATGCACACCACGTGCCCGGCATGAGTTTAAGGCACTGGGTCCAGGACTTGAACAGTAATCAACTACATGGGAGTCTAGAGACATAGCCATTATGCTAACTGCTGGTCCCAGAAAAATTTACATTCTTATGTCTGTTAAATGTTTTTTTCCCTGTGCCCCTCCTTCTTACTCCCTACTGTCCACTCCTCTCTATACAGTCTCTGGTATATATACCTGTCCTCTCTGCTATTGTATCTTCGAATCACTTAGTTTCTGCCAGACGCTGTAGACAGTTAGTATATATCTAGTGGGAATATACAATATTTGTCTTTCAAGCCCAGCTTGCCTAATTAGCATTAAATTTATATTCATCCACTTTATATCAAATGACTGAGTTTCGCTGTTTTTTTTTTTTTTCCCCTTTATAGTTGAGTAGTATTCCACAGTGTACATGTGCCACATAGGTATTGAGGTTGAGTCTGTCTTAGCAATTGTGACTAATGCTGCAATAAATATGGATGTGCAAGTGTTTTTCTGACTGAGCTTTTGTCTATACTTTGAGTAAATATCCAGGAGAGGTATTGCTGGCCCATATCTTAGTTGTATTTGCAAATTTTTAAAGAAATCTCCGTACTGTTTTCCAAAGTGGCTGTATTCATTTACATTCCCACCAGCAATGCAGGAGGGGCTTCCTTCTCCTTAAAGCCTCACTGCACTTGTCATTCTTTTGTTTTTTAACTTTGGCTATTCTAACTAGTGTTAAGTGGTATCTCATTGTGGTTTTGCTTTGCATTTCCCTTATGATAAGAGATGTTGAGCTTTTTTTTTTTTTTTTGGCCTTTTCTATGCCTGCCCTAGAGAGTTGTCTGTTCAGCTTATTCATCTTGCTTTTTAATTGGATTTTTTTTTTTTTTGCAGATAAACTGCTTCATATGACTCTGTTCCCTACATATTCTGATTATCAATCCTTTACTCGAAGCATAGTTTACAAAAACTTTATCCCATTCTGAGGGTTGTCTCTTCACTCTAATCATGGTTTCTTCTGTTGTGCAAAGTTTTTTAGCTTGATGTAGTCCCACTTGTCTATTTTGGGGATTAATGTCTGTGCTTTAGAGGTCTTATTTACGGAATCTTTCACTGTGCCAATGTCTTTGAGAGTTCCCCCTGTAAAAATTAATGCATTTAGGTTGGTCAAATAATTTCCTCTAGATGTGGGCACATTGTAGTGCATGCTCTTCCTGAACACCTTCTCTCTTGAACCTGCATGTTCCTGCACCTACCAAGGACTCCTTCCTCATCTTTGCCTCCTGCCAAACATCGCGTGTACTTGAAAATCAAGAGAAACATCACCTTTACCAAGAAAGCCACTGATAATCAAACTGGGCTGAGTTAGTTAGGGAGCACCCTTTGCACTCCATATGCTCTGAGCTTCCTGCTCTCCTAACATTTGTCTGTTTTGCCTGCTTTCCCTCGGGCCCGAGCGGCTGGCAGACTGGGAACACACCACATACACTGTTGTCATTCCACTACCACCTGCCTTAAATTTGACACGTGGTGACAAGCCCAGTAGTTGCATAATAAGTTAAATAATAAATGCATTGATAACCAATGCATAAATGAGTAAATGAATGAATGGCTCACTATTAAGCTAAGTACAGAGAACATTCCTGCCTAGCCCCATAGGTTCTCATAAGAACATTCCTCATGAGAACAGCCAGCTTTTCTGAATTACATTTGCAAATGAATTGAGGAAGCAACTGACTGGTATTTACCAAAATGTTTCCCTTTTCCGCCTAAGTGCACTGCCAGATGACTAAGAGGTCAGAAGGAAGGAGTTACCAACTTCTAGGCCTGGCCTGTAAATCTTCCCACCAGTCTTCACTCTCTTTTCTCTTTTACCATTGTACTCCAAGGGTTTGGTAGAAGATGCCAAGATCTTCAACAAAGAAAGAACCACTGGAATAGAATCTCAGTCCCTGGATGTCTGTGTGGATCAGAACTTCCCACACACTAGAACTCTCATTTGACTTAATGTGAAAGAGAAAGAAACCTTTACTGTGTCAAGCCTCAGAAATTTGGGCATCATCTGTTACTATGATTAGACTAACAACATAAGACAGCAAGACCCACTGCAGTAGAAAGCCAGCGTCTCTCACGATTTCATCTAAATAGCAAGTATTTATTAAGCATCAATTGTGTGGCACCTGTATTAACACAAGAGCTAAGAGTCACAGGCTCTGGTTGAATAGAATGTGATAAGCCGAAAAATGTGAAAGGTGATCAGAGTTGCCTACAGTAAAATTCCCCATAGCCCACGGTTTCTAAGTGCCACCCACCACATGAACAAGAACTCACCTTGGTTCCTGGGGGTCCAGGTAACCCCGGTGATCCACGTAGTCCCTGGGGAAATGAACAACACACAAGTAGTTACGATGCCATCAGCGACCCCTGCCCCATCCACCCTGGGCCAGACTCTATGCAGCCTTTGCTGTGGGGTCCAGGCATGGACAGGAGTCTCTCTATGACCTGACTCAGGGCCTCGATTTCTGATGAAGGGCTCAGGCATGGACAGGACTCTCTGACTTGACACAAGGCTTTGGCTTCTGTTGTAGGGTGAGGCATAGACAGAACTCTCTCTGTCCTGACACAAGGCCTGGCTGTGAGCTGAGACCTGACTCTGCACCTGCCGCCTGTGTGTGACCTTGGGCAAGGTCACCTTCTCAACTTGTCCTCTCAGCCTCTCTTAGTTTGCTTTTCTATTTAAGATTTGAATTTTATTTTATCCATATCTTATATCCCACAAGGAAGGGGCAAAGCTAGGATTCAAGGCAGGGCTCACCTGATTCCCAAGTCAGACTGCTATTGAGACACCTTACAGTCTTCCTGTCAGGCTGAAGAATTTTGCTTGATGTGGCACTTGTGGACACAATTAAAATCACTATTCTACTTCTGGAAGTACTGACTGAGTGATCCAGAGAGGACTGAGAGGACCAAGGGGCCCTCCTCGAGGGCACACTCATAGTTGCCGTGCACTAGGGGCACCAATGTGCACAGATTGTGAGCATCTTGGGCAGCCTATCTAATCCATCTCTGTGTCCCAGCTTGCAGCCCAGCCCAACATGCAGCTGGCAACCCACATTGCCCCACATGGGCCTGAAATACACTGGAGTGTGTCATCTGTCCATGCTCTACCTGGCTCCCAACCAGCCTGGGTTCATTGCCTATGACTCAGCTTCTGCAAAATTCAGCAGCCAGTCTTTTGCTTTTCCAGTTTTAGCCTGGTTTCTGCAGGCACAGAAGCCTCTCAATTTGCCACTTACCGGCTCTCCATCCTTCCCTTTTCCAGGAGACCCAGGGAGCCCCGGAGCACCAGGATCACCCCGGGGACCAGCTGGCCCTGAGCTCCCTTCTTCCCCTGCCGTGCCCTGTAAAGAAAAATGGACATTTTCCAGGATTGATGGCAAGCAGAGTTAAGATCTCCAGCTGTGAACCAGTCCCAGTAGACTGGCAGCTTTCCCTAGCAGTTTCCAAAACCCTATCCCTCTAGAAGCCCAGATGGAGCCTCAAATGTGTGTTATATGTTGATTTGTATCCCTAAATCCATACATTGAAGTTCTAACTCCCAGTGCCTCAATGTGGAAATATGATCTTTGCAAATGGAATTATTGGGTTGTTGGAAATGTCATGACACATTTTTGTGCTGAAAAACAGAAAAAAAAGAAGTGACTTTTCTGATGACCCAATAGTTAAATTAGGATGAGGCCATACTGGACCATGGTCCTCCAATAGTCTAATCCAATCTGCTGGTGTCTTTTTAATAAGGGACATTTGCAGGGCTAGCAGTGGCACAATGCTCTGTACACTGGTCCCGCATGGAAAGGTTCTGAGTTTGTATCCAGAAATCACCCTGCACATGCTGGGTGTATGTGGTCTGGGCTGTCTGAGACTGGAGCTGGCTAGTGGCATGGAGACCCTGTTGAGGGTCTCTCTCTCAGAATAAATAAATATATTTTAAGATAAGAAGATAATAAAGAAGAGGACTTTGGACACAGACACACATAGGGGGAGCAAAAGGTAAAGACAGAGAGGAGATGCCGTCAACAGCAAGGAGAAAGCCTGGAACAGCTCCTCCCTCACAGCCTTGGAAGGCCCAGTTCGGCTGATGCCTCTGTGTGGGACTTCCAGCCTCCAGAACTGTGAGAAAATAAGGTTCTATTGTTTAAACCACCATGATTACAGAATTTTGTTACTGCAGCCCTAGCAAGTGCATACAGTGCAGAATATGGAATTGGAAAGGACATTAATGACCACCTAGTCCTGCTGTCCTCCCAGTGCAGAAAACCCATTTATGTGTCTCTTACAGACAGTCCTTCCATTTATTCTTGAACTCCTTGGGGACTCAAGAGCTCACCACCCCTCAAGCCATTCAGTCCTTTATCATTCAGTCAAGACAACCCTCTCTGAAAACTTTCTGACATCTGATGCTCAGCCTATTCCCTAGAAATCTGCAAATAAAATCTAATTTCTCTTCAGACAATAGGTCTTCAATGACAGGAACACAGCTCAGGGATCTATAGGGAAGGGGAAAGAAGGAACAGAGAGAGAGAGAAAGAGAGAGAGAGAAAGAGGTTTGTGCACCAGGGTCTACTGCGAGAGTGGGGCTTTGGACTTAGTCCAGGCCAACACTCACCCTTTCTGACCACAAAGCTAATAGCAGCTCCCTTGTGGTAGTCCTCATTGAAGAACTTTACACTGAATCCCAAGAATCAGGGCATACCTTTCCCCAGGAGTAAGCTATAATCTGTGTGTCTCTAGACATTTCCTGATGGAGAAATGACGTAAGATGAGCCAAGGATGGCCAAAGCAATGTGTGACAAAGGCCCTTTTGCAAACCCAGGGCAGGATCAGCTTTTCCAAACCCCAGGCCAGTCGCTGAACACAGTGACCATGACAGAGAAAGAACATGATTGGAGATTTTCACCACTACTTTGCAGAATCCTGGAGCTTCCTTCCAAATAGTCCAGCCTGCAGTCCTCAGCCAAGGAGAGGAGTTTGCCTCCCTCTAGAGGCTGGATGTGCCAACAGCTCACCGATTTTCTAGTTTTTGAGTGCACAAAACCCCTACCACCATGATCACACCCATCTAGGCCATCAGTGCTCTATCTAGACTGTGCCATCCCTAATACGGGGAATAATCAAGGACTGGCAGAACGGGCCAGGGTTCTTCCCCTTGCTCCATCTGGTACTCCAGTCTTGTTGCTGCTATCTAAGACAGCGTACTCCTTACTAAATAATTGTTTAGCACCTGCATCACATAAGGGTTATCATTAAGCTGATGATCAACTACCACCGCAAATACCCATGCTATTTTCCACGAGCTGATGATCACGTTTATCTGCAATTAATCATGTTTTCTCTAAGAAATTGAGCCTTCCTGCCAAAATATAAACTGTTGGGTCATCGGTTAAGTCATGATGCATTTTTGCATAGAAAAACACGTCATGACTTTCCCGACGGCCTAATATACCTGCTCCTGTTAAATTATACAGAAAATATTAAAAAATAAAATGATCACTTCTTTAAAAGATTCCAGGCCAAGTGGACCTGAAGGAATTTGTAATAAGGATTTTAGACACTTATGTGCTGGGAGGGGGCCTCGGGATGATCCACTGTGACTAGAGGGAATGACAGGCCCTCCCACCCGGGGGTGGGAGTGTGAGCTGCTCACGTGGGGAGGTCAGGACAGAACCACCACTGCTCCCTCCTCACCCAGTCTTGAGTCCTCTGTGGATGGGAGTGTGAGCTGCTCACGTCGGGAGGTCAGGACAGAACCACTACTGCTCCCTCCTCACCCAGTCTTGAGTCCTCCACACACACCTTCCCAACCCCTCAGCTGATCTTCAGTTTGTTTGAATGTCCTGTCACCTACACTTTACAGACAGAACAATCCAGTTGCAAAGAGGGTGCCATTTATTAAGATCAGGGCACCATGGACATTCAGAGTGGATAACTGTGCATTTGTCCTGTGCACTGCTGTTTTTTTTTTTTTTTTTTTTTGGTCAGAATCTCTGGTCTCTACCTACCAGATGCAAGCAGTAGTCCTTCTACCCCAATGATGACCAACAAAATATATCCAGGTACCTCCGTGGGGGGTGGGAACAAAATAGCCCCAGCTGAGAACTACTATTGTCACTCTTGTTCAGATCCACAGAATCAAGGCAATGTGAGTCGGCATTCAGCTGGGTTCTGAACCCACATAGCTCACCCGAACCACTTAAATGAGCACTTCAGACATCCCCAACTCAGTCTCAGAGTCATCAGTAAATGTCAGAGACACTTCTTCTGGTGCTAGGTCAGAGCAATGTGAAGGGGGACTTCATGGTATAAACTTCGTCCTTAGCTTCTGGGATGTCTGATTGATTGTTTTGTTGAAATGGGGGGGTCATCAAGTCTCTATTCTTTCAGATAAATAAAACTCCAGTAGAGGGGTCATCAAGTCTATTCTTTCAGATAAATAAAACTCCAGTAGCTTGGGAAAGTTTAACTGCACAAGCAGAGGTGTGGAAAGGAAAAGTAGTGTACTGAATCAGAGAGGGCAGGATTTGAAGTCAGACAGACCTAGTGCCAGCTCTCAGACGTCACCAGCTCTGAGACAGAAGGGTAAGAAACCTCACAAAGCCTCAGTCTCTGCATCTGTCAAATGGGCCTTCATCTGATCTGTAGGCCTGTTGTGAGGATTAAGTGAGATGACAACAGGCCCAGTCTTCTCTCTTCCCCCTACTTGTAAAGTGTCTTTTGATTCTAGGGCTCCAAGCCAACACCAAGCAGTGCGAGCTCCTCCTTCATTGCCCATGTGTTTAGAATAGATGCCTGTGTGCTGAGAGACTGCAATGGTCTTACCTTCTCACCACGCTCCCCATCTTTCCCAGGGGGTCCTCTCAGGCCAGGAGGGCCCTGAAGAAAGGAAAGGTATTGACATGATGAATTTCAAGGCTAGGTCAACCTTGATGGCTCATAGCCCCCAGGGCAGGGTCCTTGGTCTGCTTCCAGGCACTGCAGCACTGACCTGCCCATTCCCCACCCCTTACTTGCATGTCCCACAGCAGTCACCTCCCTGGATGTGAGCCACTCCTCCCTCAGGTCTGGCCCTACACCATGCACACTGGAGCTCCTAACCGCAGCCGTGTTCAGCCTGATGCTTGCCCTCCCACCTGGGCTCCTGGTCTGAGCTGTGAGCTGCAGGGGGCAGTGCTGGGTAGACTGGACACTCAGGAAGGACAGGGTGCAAGGGTACAGGTTTGAGCACCTGGCATCACAGCAGCTTCCCAGGAGGGTCTCTGGGGTCTACTCTGAGACATGGGTCCCATGACAGTATTTGACAGATAACGTCAGCAAGGAAATGGGAGCAAGAGAGGGGAGATCAGGCAGCCAGAGGTTCTCTGTGAGCAGGTGGAGCACAGTCCTGCTGGGAACACACCCTGGCTCACTGCACTTGAGGGCTAAGAGCCCCTAATACACTCATCAGCTCAGGGCTGCTTCTGGGCCTCTTTCTGGCCTGCCACGAGGCTGGACAGCACACTCTCCAGAGGTCGGGAAAACCCGTAGGCAAAGCACGAGGGGCTGGCTGGGAGGCAGCACACGCACTGCAGTGGCAATGCTGAGGCTACGTGGTAAAGGTCTAGTAGCTCTGCTGCAACTTCTTATGACACGAGTCAGTCTCTGGGCCTTGGTTTCCTCCTGCATAAAGCGGGGGCAATCACCCTGTCCACCTCATGGGGCCGTGGGAGGACTGCCTTAGTTAACACAGGAAATGCACTCAGAACAGCGCCTGGCCAGTATGCAAGTCTGGTAAGAACCTCTAAACGGCGATAGTTTCTACCTGTAAAGGTCTGATGAATGAACGGGGGAGCTAAGTCTACCGTGGAGGGTAAATTCTCTGTTGTCCTTGACCAGAGGTCACTGTGTGCTTACTGAACCACGCTAAAGTCTAAGGTTATGGTGCATCTTACAGCTGGTCCCCCCACCCTGGGCCCCCGCACAGGAAACCCGGCAGATCTCCACATGTCAAGGGAGGCCAGAAATCAGCCCAACCTGCTGTCTCCACTTTGCGGATAAAAAAGCTGAAGCCTCTAAGAATGGCTTTTCAAAGG